TCCACCCCAGCCGGTGTAAACAATGGCTCACGGGTACTGGAACGCACGACGCGTGACTGATGTTCGTCAAAAGGCATGGCAAAATGATGAAATACTGTAAGAAACAGTGGGCACTACTTAATGGAGAAAATTTGATTATGGAGGCACCTTATGCTTGGCTGACGATTGCACCGTTAGACAAAGTATTTATTCTGGCTACTCAAGATAACGTAATTTCAAGTAAAGATTACAAACTAGTGTTGATTCAGAAAGGCATACACTTTCACATCAGTAAGACATATGTCAGGTGACCAGCCGGATGCTTTGAGATTGTCCTAGCAGGGACGGTGCTTCGCTGGAAAAAATACCCAGATGACGAAAGCCCCGCATGCCGACGTGTAGGTCAGCGCCTCGCGCCGCACGTTCTAGTGAGGGAGGAACAACGCCCCTTCCACCAATTAAACATTCACTACCCTCACAAGACTCACGACTATAATAGAATGAAAATGCAAAATAGTACCCACTTGCTGATTCTGTGTTCGCAGGAGTGCCCGGAGCCCAGTGTCCGACGTTCGTGGTGTTCACGGCACCTGACGGCTGCAGCAGCTGCTCCTGCTCCGTGGACGCGCGCCTCACCGACTGCACTCGCAGCACTTGCTCCGACCCAGGTAACAACACACACACATCTCCGTTTCCGCTTGCTTTCTAATGTTACACATCAATGTAATCTTAAGAAGTTTCTCAATCATCAAATGTTGTATTTCTTCAGTGTTGAACGGTATTTCGATTATCAAAACCGCGTTTCTTCTATATTGTATCATCAACATAAGCATGGGCCAATCTAAACTGTTCCGGCAACGTTGTCTAGAGCAGAACATATTTTATGTGGTCTTCCAACGTCTCTTTTTTCCTTTTTGAGAGATAGTAATGGGTGTGATAAGCAATTTCTAATGATTTATTCTTTGTAAGTGGTGTATCCAGTTTTTTCTATAGATAATTATCTTTTCTTGTAAACTGGTAATTATCTGTTCTTCTCCTATATACTCACTTCTGATATGGTCTATTAATATGCAGCCCTTCAAAATTCTATTAAAACGAATTCTTTACGATTGTACTAAAATACGCGAAAACCTTTTTTTTCAAAATAGATACTGTACATGCCAATAATTAAAGACCTAATTTCACAGTCAGTACAACCTCTTAGCTCATTGTCGTTCCGACCGTTGGCGAGTATAGACCTCCCGTAGTGTGATAAGTGGTAGCGAGTTCGGAGTGCGCAGTCCGTACAGTGCCGAGTGTTGCGTTGTGTCGCCTTCCGTATTAATAAGATCAACTGAATCAAATCCAGTGAGTGGGTACAACGCACTTATAACTTCGTAAGTCTACTCAGTACACCCAACCAATGAAAGAAGATCTTAAGATGGCTTCTGATCAAGGAGTAATTCCTACTAATGAAATCCAACAATCACAAGTTAGTAATGAAAATCAAGATTATGGTAAACGATATTTAGCTGCTGCTGAGAAAGGTATGTTCTATACAAGAACACGCAATTATGATTGACTCAGTGGAAGGAATAAAAACGTACATCCAGGAACTTGCAAAAATTATTAATCGGCTTTTTTTAGGGTTCGTCTCAAGAACTTCAAAATACCATATATGTGTCTATCTCGATTTCAAGGAAACTGAAACAAATAATTCACAAATCAACTATTTCAATTAGTGACTCTACGCTAACCATTAGACCTCTAATTACGCAGAATAAGACTCATTCTTTCTAATGAGTGTCATATTATCCCACTCTCAGTATTTATTGATGAGCTAACGAAACTGAAAATACCTTCCTGAGAGCCGCTAAGTCTGAACCAGGGTTCAGTCACATTTCCGGATCATATGGACAAAGTATCAGAAACCATGAAAATTAAATATGATGACGGTTTTCTGGAAATATCCATCAACAGATACTGTACCATGTTTTCTACGCAAAGAACAAGGTAATTTTGCTAATAATTTCCGTATGAACGAACAAAAGAATAATCTCTCTGGGTACTTTAAAGTTATTCCCAGTGAAAAAAATCAGCTGTCCCCTTCTCCTTCCCAGCACTCATACTCTCTTCAACTGCGTACCCTCCTATTGTTAAACGACTTACAAAAAATATCAAATGTCCCTTATCTAGCCTATCTTCAAAATCTGAGACATCGGAAATGTTAAACTCAATTGTATGTAAAGAGTCTCAGATACTAAAAACATTCAACCGATTACACATTAAACTGAATTAATGCCTTATTTTACATGTCGATACTCGGACCATCAGTCCCGCTCTTCCGTCTGACCACGCAAATTTCGCTACGCTCCTTTCACCAACTAGGAGAGAAAGGAGGTATTTCTTGGGCGAGAAACAGGCGATTTGAATTTAGCTCAGAGGCATCATTTAGGATTGAGGATTTTTTACATGCAAGTATATTTTCTAAAATGGGACAACCGACTTTACTTCCCTTACAAAGGATTTTTTTTGGCCTTAAAAATCCACGGCGTCGATCCGGTTTGAACTTGCAAAATTGGGTAAAACACTCCTATACGCTACCCTATACACCATCGCCGCCGCTACTAGAGACAATGAAAGTCCATCAATATAAAGACTCTACATTGATTAAACCAAATTTAAAAATCAAAAATTCAAAACTTGAAATTTCTCTTGTAGAGGAATCTGATAGACTAGAAAATCATCTTGTCTCACTCAAAAGAACGTCTGAACCAAGTAACAAATATGTTTTGAATTGGTTACAACTAAAGAGTATTTTTGAGAAAACAAAATATTGCATAAATGTTGAGGAAGCTATTCTTGAATTCAAACTGTTACTACTAATGTTAGATGATACTTACCCCCTCCTTATGGATAAAAGCATCAAAAGACATTTACACGTTAAAAAAAGAAATTAAAGAAAATTGACAAAATCAGAGAACTTGCAAACTCCAGTGAAATTAGCGATGAAGATTCAATCTAATACTCTTTTCAAATTCTGCTCTTGTAATGGCATATACCATTATTCAATGGAATACAAATGGCTTTAGTCCACAAAAAGAGAATTTGCTTCTACTAATTAACACGTACAACTCTGATATGATCTGCCTACAAGAAACAAATAATAAAATCAACCAAAATTCACCATTAAAAAATTGTAATTTGTGATTAAAAAGCAGAACAAATGCAAACATAGCTAGTGGTGGGGTAGCCATCTACACAATGTCATCTAATAAAGTAGATGAACTTCATCTTAATTCCACCCTTGAATGTTGTGCAGTAATGATTAATTATATAAATAAGCCCATAACTATAAGTAATATTTATCTCCCCCGCAGTCATGCCTTTAGTGCTAGTGAACTGACCCACTTAATAAATCAACTGCCAGTGACATTTATACTACTAGGTGACTTTATCAGTCACTTCAATTAGGTGAATTTAACAGTTTCATGGGGGGATCACACAAAAAGGATTCAAGAGGAAAGATAATAGAAGAATTATTGGATGATACTAATATTAATATACTTAATGATAGTTCACCATCCCACTTGAATAAGACTTATAAAACACTCAGTACCATTGATCTAACCATCTGTTCATCAATTGCTTATCTCTGGGACAGGAAAACTCTGATGAACCATTTGATAGTGATCATTTTTTCTATTATAATCACCAAACAAGTATGCGATACAGCAAATGAAACAAAGTGTTCTTCCAAATGGAAACTTTTGGAAGCTGACTATAACAAATACAAATTAATTATTTCAACTAAAATCAATGAAAAGAAACTGCACAAGAACTATACTTCCATAACAAAGAAGATTGAGGACCTAGCTGAACTCATACTTCAAACTGCAGAAACAACTATTCCTAAATCGTCAAATAAAACACCATAATAGTGACTTCCTTGGTGGAATCAAGAATGTTAAAAGGTCAGAAGAATACATAAACAAGGTTTTATCACTTATAAGAGACACCTGACAACTGAAAATCGAAGAAAATTTAAAATAATGAGAGCCCTAGCAAGAAGAACACAAAAGAATCATGGGAAACCTTTATCTCATCCATAAATAATTTTACAAGCACATTTGATAACTGGAAAAAATCAATGCAATAAATGGAAGATACATACCTACCATTCATACGAAATTGTTAACAGTGAATAATGGAGTGGTTACAGCTCGCAAAGAAATTGCAAACACTTTGACTCAGACTTTTACTAATAACTCAAGCGACAAATATTTCAGTGATGAATTTCAATCGTACTAACTAAATTCTCGTGTCACAATAGATAAAATACTCCAACTAAATACCTCTTACCAACCAGTACTAAATTATCCTCTTCAAATTCAAGAAATTACTTCTGTTCTTTTCCATCTGAGAAAGTCCAGTCCAGGCCCAGATGGCATTTGAAATATTATTTTTGAAAGAATTGCCAATCAATGCCATATAATATATTACTACCCTATTCAACAAACTCCTTATCTCTGGGTCATTTCCTATCAAGTAGAAAGAAGCAATAGTTTTACAAATACCTAAACCAAATAAAGTCATAAGCAATCCCATATTCTACAGACCAATCTCATTAACACACACCCTTTGTAAACTAATGGAAAAGGCAATCAGTAGAAGACTAATATGGCACTTGGAACACAACGACATACTATCACCCCATCCACATCCACAGCAACATATGCAACGCATTCATAACACATATCTAGCACTAATCAGCCTCAATGTACAAAAAGCCTACATGGTGTGGAAAGAGAGAACCTTACAACTACTGTTTGATAAAGGAATAGACAGATATATTCTAATCTTCATTGCCAACTTTCTTTGTAAAAGATTTCTCCATGTCAAGTTCAATAACATCCTTTTCGAGTAACACAAACTATGTAATGGTTTACCCCAATGCCATATAATCTCAGTGTTACCTTGTTCCTTATTGCCATAAATTCTAAAACTGAACTTACACAGAAACCAGTAAAAGAATATATGTTCCCTTGATGATATCACCATACTAGTTAGTGGAAAAAAACCCTAAAACTATTCCGCACAATTTCAAAGCTTCCTCGACTCAATACAAAATTGGTCTAACAAAGTTGGTTTCAAATTCTCACAAACGAACGACGAAACAAAGTCAAAATGCATCATCTTCGGAAAGGACAAGAACACAAACGTACAACTATTATTCAATATGAAATCTCAAGCAATTAACTGTGAAAAAGAAATCAAGATTCTGGGCATGATATTTGACTACAATCTAACCTGGCAACCACACATCAATACATTAAAAAAGGAATGCCTTCTCAGAATGAATATCATTAAAGCTATTTCTTCAACTTCATGGAGTGCAGATAAAAAT